CAATATTTCAATTGTCAGGATTTTCACTATTCTGACAATTGCCCCTCTTTGAACTCTGAATCAGTTAGGATTTTCTTTGGCTGAAAGTTTTTTTAAAAATAACTGTAGCTAGGCTGGGCTCGGTGGCTCACGCCTATAATCCCAGCACTTTGGGAGGCCAAGGTGGGCAGATCACGAGGTCAAGAGATTGAGACCATCCTGGCTAACATGGTGAAACGGCGTCTCTGCTAAAAATATAAAAATTAGCTGGGTGTGGTGGCACGTGCTTGTAGTCCCAGCTACTCGGGAGGCTGAGGTAGGAGAACTTGCTTGAACCTGGGAGGCAGAGGTTGCAGTGAGCTGAGGTTGCGCCACTGCACTCCAGCCTGGCGCCTGGCAACGGAGCGAGACTCTGTCTCAAAAAATAAAAATAAAAATTATAAAAAAAACTGTAGCTAAACAAGGCAAAAATTTATTTTATGTAAATTCTAGGTACAAGCAGTCATAGCAGTGGTATGACATGCTATGGCCTGAGATACTCAGGTTCCCTATATTTTTCTGCTCCTTTGTGTGGCTTCTCCAGAGTTAGCTTATGTCCCAAAATGGCTGCTGAAGCTCCAGCCCTTATGTCCTAAGCCCATTAAAAAGGAAAGAGGAAATGGAGCAAAAGAACTTGCTTCTTCCCTTTAAGGACACTGCCTGGAAGTTGCATTCACCAGTTCTACTGACATCTCATTTGTCAAGAAGACACTTTTACTGCAAGGGAAGCTGGTAGATGTAATCCATATTTCAGATAGCCATGTGCCCACAATAAACATCATGAGGAATGCACTGGGCGTGGTGGCTCACACCTGTAATCACAGCACTTTGGGAGGCCGAGGTAGGTGAATCACAAGGTCATGAGCTCAAGACTGGCCTGATCATCATAGTGAAACCCCATCTCTACTAAAAAAACAAAAAATTAGCCAGGCATGGTGGCGGGCGCCTGTAATCTTATCTACTTGGGAGGCTGAGATGGGAGAATCACTTGAACTCAGGAGGCAGAGGTTTCAGTGAGCCAAGATCATGTCACTGCACTCCAGCCTGGGAGACAGCGTAAGACTTTGTCTCTAAATAAATAAATAATAAAAACCATTAATTTTTTACAAAGAAGGAGAAAGTAGATATCATGTTTCTATGACAAAGTCTAAGCCTCCTCCCGATAGCAGTTAAAGTAGATTTGGCTTAAAAAAAAAAAAAAAAAAAAAAAAAAACGGTTTTGGTTTTTAATCATCCCTGGTAGGACTGAGCTCACCAAAACAATAGGAAGAAGATGCTTATCTGAGGAGTGGCGGCTACCAACAACATCCATGGCAGCGGCAGAATCAGCTACCCCTCCCGGAGGCCTTCAGTTTACTCAAAGTCAGAAACTTTGGGAGGTGCAGCCCTGCTTTTGAAGTTGTTCTTTTGGAACTGCCCAACAATCCCTCTTGGACTACTAACCAAAACCCCAGAAATGCCACCCGCTCTCACGCCCTGCTGTGGTATAGGTGAACTCAGGCGGAACTGTCCTAGCCTTGAGCCCTAGGAGACACTGGCTGCATCCACTTGGTTCCCAGCAGGGGAGATGATGTGTTTCTATCAGGCATCTACTGTCCATAGGAAGGCCTTCCTAAGACTGAGTCAAAACCTGCTCTGTCAAAAATTCCACTGTTTAGGCACTTCTGTCTGGTGTCCTAGGCTCCACATCTAGTACATAATTAATCACCTACTCACCAGGCGCGGTGGCTCACGCCTGTAATCCCAGCACTTTGGGAGGCCTAGGCGGGTGGATCACGAGGTTAGGAGATTGAGACCATCCTGGCCAACATGGTGAAACCCCGACTCTACTAAAAATGCAAAAAATAAATTAGTTGGGCATGGTGGCACATGCCTGTAGTCCCAGCTACTCAGGAGGCTGAGGCAGGAGAATTGCTTGAACCCAGGAGGCGCAGATTGCAGTGAGCCGAGATCACACCACTGCCTTCCCGCCTGGGCAACAGTGCAAGACTCCATCTCAAAGCAAAACAAAACAAAACAATCACCTACCAGGTTTTTCACCAAAAATAAAAATTGCTAAGAGTTAACATTGTAACGTGTAATTAAGATTACTAAAAACAATCGGTTTCACATGCAAGGCCTGTGAGGAAGTGAAATGTGCTTTTAGTAAAAGGTTATAAGAAGGCTTGGAGATGTACATTTTTGCTTAGTTTAGAGGGCTAAAGGGTTGTTTTAAATTACATAGGATAAACCTAAAAGGTTTGAGCAAGTTTTGGAAGGTTTGTGAAAAATTAATTGTAAAAGAGATTCTGTATATGACCATATTGGCTAAATTTAAAGGGCTATTATTCAGTTTTTTCCATGCTTTTGGAATAAAGCACAACAGGTTTTTCATAGAGCAAGGATGTGCTCTTTAACAAGAATTTGTAAAGAGTTATAAAAGGTTTATGAGAAACCTTATGGTCAAACCGATTAAGACTGGATAGATTTGTCTATAAGGTTTTATTAAAAATTGGGGTTGAAGCTGGGCACACTGGCTTACGCCTATAATCCCAACACTTTGGGAGGCCAAGGCAGGTGGATCACCTGAGGTCAGGAGTTCGATACCAGCCTGGCCAACATGGTAAAACCCCGTCTCTACTAAAAATCCAAAAAAATTAGCTGGATGTGGTGGTGGGAGCCTGTAATCCCAGCTATTCAGGAGGCTGAGGCAGGAGAATCAGAGGCGGAGGTTGCAGTGAGCCAAGATCCTGCCACTGCACTGCAGCCTGGGTGACAAGAGCAAGACTCCATCTCAAA